ATTGCAATTGAACTATGTTTTTAAATGTCAAAATATCGTCTTGGTCTTGAAGTTTTGTTTTTTTATTCAAAATGGCGACTTTACAAAGGCAGTGGTTCAAATGCTACACTTATACGCTCTTTCCGAAAGAAATATTCTACTCTTTTCCAAACGTTGTCAAAAACGAAGAGAGTCATGGTTTTGTGATATCTAAATCGTCGATAGGTAAAAACAAACAAGAAAGGAAACAAAAAACGTCAAATAGAGCCCTCAAGTGCACAAATTCCAAACATTCCAAGAAAAACCGAACATCTTCGACTATTGCAAAGTACGTTGTTTAATGTTAAAGAAAATAAATCCCTCTAGTCAATGGACAGCAAAATCATTTAAATGCTCGGTGTCCACTGTAAACAAAAATATAACGTTGATTTAAATCTTAAGAAGGGCGAAAAACGCAATGTGCATCGTCTTCTTCTTCCAAAGCATGTCGCTCAACCAGGACACGCTGCAGAATTCTACATGAGAAACACTTATTCCAAAGAAAATGGAAAACAATTGTCACAATAGATGAAGCATGAGTGTATTTAAATGATTGTAACAAAAAAGAGCCATTTATTATCAAAAAAGGGGAGAAAAATATTTAAGTACATGGTTCAAAGAATCGAAAGAAAGTTTTTCTAAGGGATTGATGCTGCTGGTTTTTTCATATAATGGCAAGTTAAAAATAAGAGAGTGCAAAAAAATGTCAGATTAACTCTAACTCCAAATACTATCAGGAACATTATCGCCAATCAATTTTTCTGAATGAAATACCATCGCTTTACCCACACAGTGCCATCATCTGTGAGACTTCATCAGGACAAAGCTAGCAGTCACACATCAAACCCCCTGTAAAATTTCCTAAAAGAAATGGAACAAAAAACTGATACCAAGGCAACCTTTACTAATATCCCTACTAAATCCTCGATGTGTCAAAGCACTTCTATTGCATTATCCAACCACGTTGTCCCAAAACCCTAACAGACTCTGGAAGTTTGTCGGCAGAATGGGATAGAATACTTCTTTCACTTCAAAAGGCACAAAAGGCATTGTTATCCTGGAAATTGCGGTGTCGAAAGATAGTTCAGAATAAGGGATGTCAAATAGAGCATATAAAACACAAGTAGGAAATCGGCTTCTATCCATGATACACTGGGAAAAAACACCGAAGCAACACCGAAACGACCATTCGGCCGGCCTCTTTCGCTGAACAGAACCCGTATCCAACTACTAGCATTCAGCAACTTTATCGCTCTGTCGCTAGTGGGCTTTTTCTTAAGAAAAATGAATTTGTGGAGGATTTAAGGAAAGGTGGCTTAAATATTTCCCCCGCCTTCTTAGCGAGCCTACGTGGTGTAGTGGTCAGCACACTCAGCGCGTAATTGAGAGGTCCGCGATTCGATTCCCGGCGAAGGCGATGCATACTTTTCATTTCTCTGACTTTTCCAATTAACCTAATGTCTCTATAGTATAGATTCTGTATTGTGAACACACACAAGTCGTATTCGTTTAACCTTTTCTTCTGTATCCGAAAGACGAATTATAAATTTTCGATATTTAAAAATATATGGAATCGAATGAAAGATTTATTTAAAATGCTTTCCAAAACAACTAACATAAATAAGATTTTCTATACAACAGATACCAAAATGAAACGATTATCTAGAACTAGAAAATTCTATAAAAAGAGTTCATGTTTTAATTTCTTAGTATTTTGCTCCGAGTTTGATATGATAAGATGTTGAGCTTTCAGAACAGTGGAAGAAAAAAATTGTTTGACTAAAAAAAGTAAACAGAGCTAATTAATTAAAAATTACAAATGGTAAACATGTTAGAATAGTGCATAGGTTACAAATATTTTTGTTAATTAGTAAATTGCACTAGCAAAAATGATAATGTGCCAAGTATTTCAAATGATATATGCAAATAAGTTTTGATAAAATATTCCATTCCTAATTTTTATTCACATAAATTGAAGTATTTTAAGCTGAATGCTTTAAAATGACTAAATACTTCTCAATACTACAAATGTTTCATAATTTCAGCGTGTTGCGGAAGTTTTCTAAATTCTCTTCTCAAAGAGGTTACAGATCTTAATCTTGGTCTGGCGGGGTCCCAAAAAATTTACGTAGCATTACAAATCCGTGATTCGGTTATTTTATCACTCACATTTACATTCACGTTTTGACAAGATAACCTCCTTTTTACGCATTTCTAGACAGCCGAAGTACAGAATACAAACAAGTTTTAATTTCAAGGTCGTTTTATTATTTCACAGAGTGGCATTCCCAACTTCCATGCGTAATCGAATGTTATTTGGAAATGCAAGCCATCGTTACCTTCTCATATTTTCTCACCTCATAAATACAGTTCCGATTGCAATTCTGCCCTTAAACTGGTCACTAATCCTATAATATGAGCCCACCCGTCTACTCATAGACCTACTTCCGACAATCAGCTGCCCTTTCAAGCGCGAAGAAGCAGTCTTCTTAGTTACGGTTATACGATAACCTTCTCCTTTCGCTGCCCATTCAACCGGTAATTTTCGTCTGTGTAAATGACGTAATCAGTATTAAATGTTATCGAAATGCTTGTTAAAATAACAGAGGCAAATGCGGTTAAAAAAGTACCTTTTTAAACTATATAATTTCTTCCCGTGAAAACGTGTTGCCAGCACCTTATGTTTTCTTCTCAAGCTTCGTCACGAAAATGAAACATTTTGGCAGGGCCGTTCCTAGGCCATTGGCGGCTCCCAAATTTTAAAAAAATGCTCAATTATTAATAAAATTTTTATTTCATACTCATTAAATACTTACATATGACAAATTGTATAAAAAATACTTACATATAACAAGTTACTTATAATGAATTTAAAATATTCAGTCATGGTATAGCGAGAGTTCGGCCGCCACTGATTTTCGTCGCCTGCGTACTTTTACGCGCTGCATCCCCGCTAGGAACGACCCTGGATTTTGGCATCATACGCGAAACTGCAACGTTAAAATTTTGTTGGTTTTCAAGCCATTTATTGGCGGCAATACTGTCACACTCTAGAACAAAGATTTCTTTGGAAACTGCTAGTCGGAATTCTATTATAACTTGAAAGTCATTTTGGTAACTAACGTATAAACAAGAACATGACTGTGTAGTAACACTCTGAGTTTGACTTCATTTCTATTCTCTGTTTTGAATAGCTCCTCTTGAAAATATAACTTTACACACCACATTTATTATGTAACTATTTAGAAAGGTGCACACCATTTAGAATAAGTATGTGGGTGAGATTATGGCAAAGCCTCGAGGACTATCTGCCCAATGGGAGGGATGCCTTCGTGGAGGACTTTCTAAGGAAAACTGGCTCGTATACACGTTACACATGGAAAAACCACGAAAACGCCCATGCAGCCAGCCCACTTCGCGGGATTCGAACCTCGGACCGAACTACCAGTGTTCAGCGACTTTACCGCTCGGCCGCTGGTGGGCCCATTTAGAATAAACAAAATAAATTGAGGCTATCAAATGTTTCTTAAGTAAATAAATTCTAATATTGTCAGGCATTTTACGGTTAATCGGGGAGAACTACACAATCTAAAAAACGGTTCCATAACTTAAGATTGAATGGAGACTAATACGAATATACGAATAGCTTTATTCGAAATGCAAATCCAAAAATCACACCTCCAAATAAACATGTAGCGACCTTTTTTTGAAGACACATTTTTGAAGCAGGAGAAATGAAAAATTAGCAGTGCCCTCGCCGGGACTCAAACCTCTCGAATACGCGCCGAGCATGCTGACCATTACACCACGAAGGCATACTAAGAAGGCGGGGAAAATACCTTATATACTCCCCCTTTTAAAGGGCGACTGGGGATGAGGGGACCCAGTCGCCAAATCCTGGTGGTGGAGAATCAGCATCCACCAAACTTTTTAGTTCGGGCGCCACTGTAGAGACATTAGGTATTTTTTTGGAAGCAGGAGATGAAAAATGAGCAGTCCCCTCGCCGGGACTCGAACCTTGGATATCTCGAATACGCGTCGAGTATGCTTCCAATTACACCACGAAGGCATGCTAAGAAGGAGAGAGAAACACCTTATAAACAAATAAAAATAAACAACAATTAAATAAAGAGAAGGAAAATGAGAGAAATTCTTGTGATTCAGAATCAATTACATGAAAAATGTTTACTACAAAGACTCTGGCAGTTAGCCGGCTAGCCTTGTTATAACAAACGCAATCTTTTTTCAATCAAGCATGTACGGCACTTGATTAGATCCACCCACTTCTCGAGAAACTGGCCAGTCTCTTGGTCCTATCTGCCATATTATACTGGTATTTCAGGATATTATTGCTAGCTGTACGTACTTTACCACAGCTAGGCTGTTTAATGCATGACGAAAGAACATGCTGTCTTCTTCTACTTTTGTATCTGTTTCATTGAAATAAATGTCCACTGCTTTGGTAAATTATGTTTCCTTTTCTTATTGATATATATCTATTAGTGATCAAATGGTAAGGCAGCTGAACGACAGGTAGTTCGACGCAGTTTTCCAACAAAGAGGAAAAAACGCCCCATTTTTGTGCATTACATATAATAAATTTTAATCACTCCAGTAACACATTAATAGTCCTTGTGAGGTGATGTGGGGGCTGAACGTTAAAACGTTTATTATCTGGCTATACTTCTGATGATCTAAATAGGAAAAGATGCCTATATAATAATTTATATCAGCAAATGGAATTTTTATTAGCATTAAAATGAGGGGTGATGTAAAGTTAACTGTAATTACTGTACGTTAACATCAGCTTAAATTTAAACTGGTAGTGTCTGAAATTATTTTTAGGAAGAATTTATTTTTAATTTTTCTGCTGTTTATATTACTCGGTCTTACCTATACCAGTATCTTACATATTCCCTTGTAGAGATAGTTATCGCACACATAAACAGTATTCAAAATAAATTCATCTCAGTTATACTTACTTATATGGATCTCTCAGTTCGCCAGTGACAAAATTCAAATAGTTCCTAAACGGAGGGAAAAACAAATAAGTATCATATGAAACGAAATCGTTCAGGCAAGAAAATAATTTACATCTCAATGTTGCAATTCAAAGTTATCATTCTAACGAAATATATAGAGAATATCATACGTCATATAATGGCAGAGGAAATGATAATTTTTTTCAACCCAAGTTAAGTAAAAAGTTTCCTAAAATTTGTTTAAAGATTATTGCAAAACTAAACATCTCTCGAATAAATAAATGAACATAAACCTATTATTTCCACTTCGATAACTATAGTAAATAAGGTAGGCTTTTATATTACCCCAATCCGGGCCGCATAGAATCTTTTACAACGTTTCAAGATCAACGTTTATCAGCTATGCGGGTTTCCGGGTTTCCTTATCTCCACTTTAAAGAAAGTGACTTTTTTCCCTCCCCCCCCCGTAAACCATTTTCGCATGTAAAGAAAAACTTTAATAATTAATTTTTTTTTTCCTTTAGAGAGATAATATAAACATTTAAATTTCGTACATTCATATTAAATGGTGTAACGTGAGTAAAATTATCATAATCTTTAAGTTTTCACCTTATTTTATTTCTTTCTTAAATTGAAACTAACGTCGGGAATCTAACAAATGCCCTGTATTAGTCAATATTTCATACAAATCATTCAACATTCAGTGAAATTTATAGAATTATTACATTCTTTTCGAAGTGTAATTATGATACAAGTGGTTAGCACAGACAACTAAGCCACCCAACCGGTACAGTGGCTAGCGTCGCTGACTGCCGTGCCGAAGAACCCAGGTTCGAATCCCCGAGAGAGCATGGATGTCTGTAAATGTATAATGTCCGTGCGGCATGGGGGCACTCTAAATATGCGAAAGTCCTCTTGAGAGGTGGGGGTAGGGAAAGAGGGGGTAGGGAAAGAGGGGTGGGAGAATACTTGGGGTGGGAGAAATACTGGGGGGTGGTAGAGAAATACTTGGGGTGGGAGAAATACTTGGGGTGGGAGAAATATACTTGGGGGGGAGAAATACTTGGGGTGGGAGAAATACTTGGGGTGGAGAAAACTTGGGTGGGAGAAAAAAGAAATACTTGGGGTGGGAGAAATACTTGGGGTGGGAGAAATACTTGGGGGGAGAAATACTTGGGGTGGGAGAAATACTTGGGGTGGGAGAAATACTTGGGGTGGGAGAAAACTGGGGTGGGAGAAAGAAATACTTGGGGTGGGAGAAATACTGGGGCGGGAGAAATACTTGGGGTGGGAGAAATACTTGGGGTGGGAGAAATTTGGGGTGGGAGAAATACTTGGGGCAAGTTGTTCCCTTAAGGAGAGTCATACACTTAAACCCCTCATGATCTTCGAATATGTAATGTGACTGTTGCAAAAATTGGGATATTTTATTTATTTTAAAAGTAATTACTTCCAACTTTTTACAGCTTACAATAAACACAGCTGCTTTGGAAAGTAGTAACCAGAAAGTTTGTGTTGCCACAAATATTTTTGTAATTTAATCCTCTTTGTGACAAAGTATTTCGCCGTGTTTCCACCTTGCGCGCATGATATTTTAAAAATGGCTAATGCTACATACTTGAAATTAGATGAATTCTTATATGGCACTATTTTCTAACTGAACCAACAATCTGATGAATATTTTAATATGAAATTTTTTGGACGAAACATTAAAAATTTTGTTAATAAAATACATTTATAAACAATCAAAATAAAATAAAAATTTAACATGAAATTTTTAGAATTTTAGGTTCACATAGTTTCCAAATGTTTAAAGCTATCTATTAAATAGGAATTAAATTATGAAACAGAATGTTTTAAAATGTGCGCGCAAATTGGAAACATGACGAAAAATGTTGTCACAAAGCGGATTAAATTATAAAAATATTTGTGGCAAAACAATTTTTCTGATTACTATTTCAGAAAGCAACTACATTATGTAGTCAGCTGTAAAACATTGGTAGTAATTGCTTTTAAAATAAATAAATTATCCCAGGTCTTGCAACAATCACCTATTCGAACATCTTATGGGTTTTAAGGTGTACGAGTCCCCTTAAACCAGTTCCCCCCCCCGAATGCTCTCCGTCAAAATTGGGGGTGGGGGCCGGAACTGAGCAGACGTAATCTTGCGTTCCTTGCCACGAGGAATTTCGTAGGCTTGGGCTGACTACAAGTCAGACAATTGAGCCTCAGTCAACAGAAGAACAACAGGAACCTAAGAATTAGTGAACAGTTGAGGTTCCACGATTTAAAAAGAGAATATTTCATCCAAAAATACTGTTTGTTATTTTGAATAAAATCTTGCTTTTGTTTTGAAAATAATTTAATGGTAAATAAATGTAAAGAGCCCTGAACAGTCACTTCACAGTATTTTTAAACAAAGAATAACATACATTAATCGATTTTTAGAACAGAACAAATATCCAGACTCTCATTGCACAGTCACGTAGGCTTATTTTCTTTCCGATACGATTTGCATTGGTAAGGATTCTCAGCAAAGTCGGAAGCCATGTTCTTACTCTCGAATTTCTAGAACTTTTTTTTTTTTTTTTTCGTAGCTTCAAAGTCGGCAAATAGCAAGCGCTTCCCATTTATCTCACGTAACAAAATCATAGCCGAAGACAATTAGCCATGCTAGTGACATCTCCATATAGTTCATGAATGCAGAAAAAAGGGAACGAAGGAGACATTTACCATTTTTATAGACTACATTTAGAGTAGCACAGGAGTTCGGTGAACTGGTATCCGTTTCAGTAGCCCTTAATTTAAATTCGTAAGCTTACAATGGAACGTAAACCAAATTAATAATCTAGACTTAAACAGATGTTAAAAGTGGCCTGCTTTCGAAAAGGAAAAATTAATAAAGCCGTTTCTTGAATATCCGAAATTAGCCTTTCCCGTTTTTTTTTCCGCCTACATCAACTCAGTATTTATAATTCACTTTGGATTCACAATCCGCTGGAGGCACCTTCTGAAGTATTGCCGTCTGAACGTAGAAGCGTCTTCAAGCATGCAGTAGGTAGCATTCAAATAGTGCTTATAATGTCTTCAACATTCGGCATTTACTGCATTTAATGTTATTTATTATTATTTTAATAAGTTAACAGGAAATTTTTGTCATTTCCATCTCAAACTCAGCTTAATTAAAATATATATATATATATAAAGAGACAAATTCAAAATAAATATTTTGCAAGCGTAAGGTCAAAGATAAGATTTCCTTATTTTTTTCATTTACACCTCAATCTCAGTCTAATTTTTAAAAAAATGTAAGACAGAATAAGCTCTGCCGTGAGACAAATTAAAATGAAAAAAAAAAAAAAAAGAAGCTTTCAGATATACATTATGTCCAAAGGGGAGCTTCTTTAACGTTTTGTGTGTTACCTTTATTTATTAAATATCATGTTCTTCGCACTTAAACCATAAAATTTAGGTCAACAGCAATATAGCAAAATAATTGTAAAATGAGCATATCCTTAGAATTTCCGATACACAGTCTCGCGCGCTGGAGATAAAAAAAAATTTTTTTTCGTACAGTGTTGCCATTCCTCGGTTTGAAATCATTGAGTTTGTTAATCAAAAATTCTTTAATATCGACAAAATATTAAATAGATAATAAAACAAATTCCATCGGGCTTCCAGATGTCCATATTCAGTGGAAGATTACATTATTCAAAATTGGATGGCTCTAGGTAATATTGTTTTATCACAATGCGAGAAACGTACATACGTTTATGCAGATTCTTCATTATTTAATTTCTTGAAATACAACACAGGGTTCTAATAATTAGTGGCAACAATTTGAAAGTAAACTGACGCAAAATGCCAAAACGAAATTAATAGCCCTTCTGGGCTAACGGCCTTTGGGCTAAAAAAGAGAGAAAGAGAGCGCTATTAAAAATAAAAGGGCTGTATCGAATTGAAGTACATCGGTTTATTATTACGGCACAGTACATTGGGGTTATCTGCCTACGGTGGAAGATGCATTCGTGAACTATTTTTCTAGTAAATGTAGTCTGCATTAAGCAATTACAAAGAAAATTTCAAGCAGCAAGCCTACAAGTCGTAAGTACATCGTATAGTATTTCAAAAGATAAAATAAAGGGAAATGCAGTATGCGTACAAAAATACACGTCTATAATTACGCGTATGTATCATATCAGGCAGGATTATTAAAATCAGATTGGCAGTAATAAAATAATGCAGTCATAAAATAAATAGAAAAGTTCAAATAAAAAAATAGATCTTAAATCTTAAATCAATAGATATAGATCTTAAAAAATTTCACAATAAGATACAAATATCTTACAATATCTACAATAAATCTTACAATAGATCTATAGAAAGGCTCCATCTTTCAAGCAAATTTTCAGTATTTGTTAAGAGAATTTATTTTGTTTTTGCCGCAAAATAGTCACTTATTACATTTTCTGTCTCCCAATTACTGTAGATAACATTAACACTGTTAAATTACTGTAGATAACTAACAAAAAAATTTTGCATTGTCGTAATTAAGTAATAGTCTTAATTATCCGAGAGATACACTTAGAAGGATGAGGAAGAATTCCCTCGACAGTCATTAAATTTTTTATAGTCGCATGGGGTTTACCGTTATCTTGCTTAAGAATCACATCAAGTTTGAAAAATGCAGGTCTTCTAGCGGTTAAAACAGCATTTAAATTACCTAATAATTATGTTAGTTTTTAAAGTTAAACGTAAATCACAGCTTCTATATTACAGATGAACAGCAAAATCTTTGGTGGCAATCCTGGTTTAGTGTGGATCTTTTGGGCTTAAACTGCTGTTCTTTCCGAATAATGTGAACATGAAGAATCCACATTTCATCTCCCGTCAGAAAGAGGCTCCATTCCTTTTCTTGTAACCAGAGCAAAGTAAATCGAAACTGGCTACTGCTAGAATACAGCAATTCAAATGAAACACAAGCACAAACCCGAGAAAACTTTCCTATTCATTTTAAACGATTTATTGCTATTGGACCCGCATACAAAGTCTTCTAAACTACATCTCTACGGATGGTACATGGATTTGTTTGACTTCTTCAGCATTTTCTGTCTTTTTGTTCTTGATAAAAGAAAAAATGAAATTCTGTCAGTTGTGTTATAGTGACTGTTAGAATTACATGCACTTGATTTTACACTGATGGAATAATCCACTTTCTGAACTTTTTCAATATTCAAACGGGCTATTATTTCCAGTTAGTCAGGATATCTGAAATTTTACTGTATTTATGGAATACAAAATTTTAGATATAATCTCAAAATTATAAACTTTTGAATTTAATTGAAACACTGAAACGGTAATATTACTGAAAAAGAATATAAATATACATAGTCTTAAAGGTGAAATAATGAGGTCAGCGAAAATTTAGATGAATTTTTTCAGCTTTAATATTTATTTATATATTTTCTGAGAATTTCTAACGACTGCGAATTCAATCTTACTCTCTTAAAAACTAGTAAACTTGATTATTAGAACATCATGGCGTTCCATCGTAAATATTTTTAATTAAAATTAATAAGAAACTATTGCACTGTATATTATAAGTAACTGCAATTAATAATTTTATTAATATTAAAATGTAGTCTGCATCAATTATGCTTACACATATGCGCTGTTAATTTCTGCTGGGTTTAAACAGAAACAAAAATTATAATTTTGCAATCATGCTGACTATCTCGAAACAAAACATGCTAATATTAAACAAGCATATAAACTCATACCATCCTCCGTAGGCAAAGAGACCGGAATAGAAGGCTAATGAAATGGATTTAGCGGTGAATTCGCCTTCAAAAGCATTTTCCAGATATTTAGTGTGGCCTGAAAAGCAAATGAAAACAAGTCAAGATTAGACTGTAAATACATAATAATAGTAATTTACCTAGGACATGAATAGTCTAAACTAGGTGTATTGTGAATCGTTTCATATTTTATGCCTAACAGTCCATTATTATATAATTGCGTTAGGAAAACGTACATACCACTGTCGCCTCAAACAGCAGTCAAATGGTGAAGTCGTTGAACACTGGTACTTCAAGCCGGTTACAAATCTCGACGAACGTTTTGCCTGCAAGGGTATTTTTGCGGCTTTCTGCACGTTGGTTGGTTGTTTAGTGTCGTGTTCTTTGAGAAGTCAAATGGATCCATGAATGAAAATCACAGCTTTTGCTAGTTTCACAATCTTTTCACTATACAGCTCTTCTTGGAAAGGAAACTTCTGAAAGCTTTCCAGAGCTGCAATTATTGCCAGCAAGGTGAAGATGTGTTTCTGGACAAAGCCTCCGTTTCGGGGCAGTTTCTACAAATTCTATGTGATCTGGTACCATCTTCATAATTTCTAAAATGGCAGGGTTTCAATCTAGTAATGTCTTGGTAATTTCTCTGTTTGCATCAATCTCACATATCCGTTTTCTCCACGTGTAATGTGGATAAGAACCAATTATTACAATCATACCGACAGCGTATTAAAATTATTCAACAAACTTAAACGAAATAGCTCTTCGTAAGCCAAGCTTCTGAAGGATTCCTGCAGAAGAAATAAAAATGAAGCTAAGTGTTAAAAGTTTGTAGCCATTTCAGTTTGAAACCAAATATCTATCTTACGACGGCAATAATGTCCATAAAAAGATTTTGGATATGATCAGTATCGACAAGGAAGAATCATCTCACGTAGGGAAAAAGGGGAGGTTGGTGGGAGGGGAAGAGGAGACCCTCGGACCCGTCCCCTCGGGATGCTCTCCATCAAATTAGGGGCCGGAAGTGAGCTAAATCGCACTGTCACCTGCAAGGTGCTCAAGCCTTACATCCCTTTATTCGAATGAGTTTGGGCTCTTCTAAAGAGATGATTCACCGCTATACACATCTAGAGACGCGAATTGATGGTTAAAGAGATATTCATCTACATTTGAAGTCTTGCCATATCTACGAACGTACGTAGATCTACAAAGTAGATCTCAATGCTATCGAACTCATTTGGTATGCTATACAATGCACTGTGTATTACTTAAATCCTAAACCTCAAATATAATTGTCGACAGATCTGCAGGATTTACAGTGTTCATTCAAAGTATATTTTGCTTTGCTCGTTGAGTCCATGTTCAGTAGTACTTCTACAATTCTACAGCCGCATAACGGGCTAGCAAGTATTAAATTAATGAGAAATTTTTCCCCTAGCACTTTAATATAGCTTATTAACTTTATAAGGTATTTTCTCCCTCCTTCGAGCTTGTCTTCGTGGTTTAACGGTTTGTACACTCGGCGCGTATTCGACGGGTCCATATCCGGGCTCTGGCGATGGCATTACACATTTTTCATGTAAATTTAATTTAAAAAAAACCTATAAAACTTTATTAGGTTTACATGTAGTCATTTCGTGTTAATTATTATTATGATGCATGAGTGTTGAAAAAATTTGAAATTAATTCCTTGATTGTAATAGTGGACGAAAACGTTAATAAAAGAGAATTTAAAAACGATCTTTTACGTGTTTAGTTTAGTAAGAATTAAATCCTCTCATTTGTTTTGATTTAAAAAGAAGTGTTTTTAAATCAACTAAAAATTAAATTAATTTAAAATTTATTAAATTAAAAAATTAATTTTTTAATTAAATCAATTAATTTAAAAGTAGTGTTTTTAAATCAATGAAGTAATCTTCTTTTTATGTAATAATTTCCTTTTATTACCTCAAGTATAAACGCACTAAATATTATAAATATTTTAACCCTAAATTTTTTTATGTAGAACTATAAGTCATCTAGCATTTTTAAGATATATTGCCTAAATCTGAAGATGGTTATTTTATTTTTGGTAGAATGCCATTACGTTTTAATCGTAACCGAAATACTTGGGGCAAGTTCCTTAAGGAGACTCATACACCTTAAACCCCTCATGATCTTCGAATATGTGACTGTTGCAAGAATTGGGATATTTTATTTATTTTAAAAGCAATTATTCCAACCTTTACAGCTGACACATAAAATACCGCTTTGGAAACTAGTAACCAGAAATTTTGTGTTGAAACAAATATTTTGCAAAAATCTCTTGTGACAAAATATTTCGCCGTGTTTCCACCTTGCGCGCATGATATTTAAAAATGGCTACGGTAAATACTTGAAATTGATGGCTTCTTATATGGGCGCTATTTTTTAACTGAACCTACCATCTAATGAATATTTTAATATGAAAAATTTTATGGACGAAAATTACAAATTTTTTTACTAAATACATTTTAAAACTCAACGCAAAAATAAATAAAATTTAACATGAAATTTCTAGAATTTTTAGGTCAGCAGTGGGTTTCAATGTTATAAAGCTATATATTAATATGGAACTAAATTATGAAACAGAATGTTTTAAACTGTGTGCTCAATTGGAAACATGACGAAAATGTTGTCACAAAGCGGATTTAATTATAAAAAGATTTGTGGCAACACAAACTTTCTGATTACATTCAGAAGCAGCTTATTGTGTAGTCAGCTGAAATGTTGGTAGTATTGCTTTTAAAATAAATAAGTTATTCCAATTCTTGCAACAGTTACCTATTCGAACATCTTATGGGTTTTAAGGTGTATGAGTCCCCTTAAGCAAACATGGATAACTCTTATAGAGTCATTAGGTTATTTTGATGCTGGAGGCATGAAGAATGTGCATTGCCCTCGCCTGACCTTTCGAATAGGCGATGAGTATGCTACCATTACACCACAAAGGCATGCAGAGAGAAGGGAGAAAATACCTTATATATTCACCTTCTAAAAGAGTGACTGGGGATTAAGGGACCCATACCGTTACATCACCAAGCCAGGCAGAAAGGAGAGAGAAAATACTCCATTGATCCCATTATATTCTATTATCGTGTATTTAGCCTTATATTCTGAGCTTAACATACATAAATAATCCCAAGATGAAATGAATTCTTAGCAGTTGCATAGGCAAACTGCTAGCCATTTCGAATGATTTCCGCATTAAGTATCATTTTTCTTAAACGTCAAAGAGAATAAAGTGAAGAAAACAGATACTGTCATCGTCATCCTTTTCGGGGCAAAATGTAAATGAATGTCCCTTATCAGTGCAAATGCAGTGTCATATAACCTTTATGAAACATTCATAAGCATATAACCATTCAGGTCATCCATCTAGCTATGTTATCACTGCCTCGTTTTCTCTTCTGGTCTAAAGTTCTTCGCTCATTTCATTTCATATAGAGAGAAATCTCGGCTTTGAGACCATGGATTCATAATTTTTTTATTTTTCTGTATATTAAAAATCTGATGTGTACACCACATGACTTCCTTGTACGGAATATTAAATTATACGCATTTTTTCTTGCATTTCATTTAAACGTATTGGATTGAATTGAATTCTCTTCGCGACAAGATAAACCACAGTGAATAAAGCATTCTTAAAATTCATTCGATTTGTTTTCATAGCGAATTCTGGGCTAGCCAAGCAGCGTAGAGAGATGTACTCGGGCTTGCAGTGAAGCTTCTCCACAGTTATAGCTGATACCGAAGGCTGTGTCGCGATTTTCTAGCGAGTGTATAGTACATCTTCGCGACTGTAAGCGTGGCTCTGGAGCTGCATGATTAATATTGGAAATAAAGTGTGTTTCGATATCTCAGTTCTGTCGTTATTCACTCCAAATCCACACGAACCCCGTACGAACGTCAAGGAAGAAAATAACGTAATAATATTATTTTATGTGTAAATGGAATTACATAAGTTACTAAAAAATAAGAATAAAATAAATTTTGGTCACATGTTCGTTTTATTATTTTTAACGCTACGTAGTTAAGCTACGTGTCAAAAATAAAGCTGTTTCGTTTAGCGGCTGTTTTCCGAGAGCGCATCGACTGAATTTTAACCAAACTACTGGTAAATATGAATTTTAATGAAATGCTTTTATTATATCTATCAAAGAGAAATATTAGCGTTTTAAACTCCGCTGATTAAATAATTTTTCTTTCAGTAAAAGTGCGAATTACTTCCTTTTTAGTATAATAAGTGGGTAGAAATTTGAAAGGAGTGTCATTTAATCAAGGCTATCATGATTTGGCAAGCATCACCTTCAGGCAGTTATTGTTTCCGCTCACAAATATCAGAGAATTATCTTATTCAATAAAATTACTGCAAACACCTGATGCATACTTTTCAAAAAAAGAAAATTATTTGAATTCAAACAGATATTGAAAAAAAAAGTTACCTTGGCCTATAATGACAGAACCTCCAATGATTATAGCAGCTAATGGGAAAAGCTTCGCTCCAGTGAAGATGTCTTGAACTCGCATTGCCCAGCGTACACTTCGGCAATTTACGTACGTCAGCAGACCTATGTGATGAGAGAAAGTTATCTGTTACAGGAGAAACCAATAGTTTTAATTGTTAAAAGTCTAGGACAGCACTGGTTGCTTGAAAACTGAGAAGAGTGCTTAGTAAGCCTGAACGAAAAATTACATTTAACTATTTGTTGCATCATCAAACCTTTGTTGCATCATGTCCACTCTAGTACACAAAAGTTTAAATTTGTTATGCTCTGTAATGCCTTAACAGATTCATTCTGTGTTTCTTCATTCTATATTATAGAACTTTCAATTGTCGATCATAGATGGCTGTATACATCACTACGAAAGCACTGCTATTTGGAAATGGCTGTACTTCTGTTTCCGATTAGTACAATTATCAAGTAAATTATATATATATTACTACATTTCTTATAATGCCATTTTTTATTATAATTGGTCGTTTTATACATTTATTTTAAAAGACAGTTCAGAATTGTGGAGTGGGTGAATAGATCTACCGAAAGATGAATGAAACCCAATGGCTGCTTATCAAAGCCAAATCACCACGGAAATGTTTATGTTTCGCAGGAATTTCTAGAACTTTGACATTTGATCCAATAGATACGTTACAAAATCTAGTAAATGATTCATCCCAATCGACGAATGAAGTATTTTGGGGGATCGTATATACTGTCGTTGTAGATTACCGTTTAGAAATGGTAATGCACTGCAACAAGCAGGAACTGATTTCAATGCAATGACCGTAAATCATTGGGAATATTTGTAGCAGTACTATATGCATGCTGTCGCTGTAGTGAATAACTGTCGCATTATTTAAACAAAATTTGAATAATTTTTTTTATTATATTACTAATATTATTTAATAAAAAAATACAAAAATTTTCGTTTAACTTCTGTAGATTATTTGCATGCAACAAAGGGTTAACTTCCCCCCCCCTCATATATATATATAAATGAATAATAAACCAACTCTTGACTCAAATGAAATTTCAGTCTTTTTGCTAAAAGATGCGACAAAAATATCTACTGCAAATAAAATCACTTGTATTTATTAGCCTAAAGGCCGTTAGCCCAGAAGGGCTCTTAATTTCACTTTCGCATTTTGCTTCGAAAACTTTAAAGGTCTGAACCACTTTTCAAATTGCTGCCACCAAATATTATTGCCCTGTATTATATTTAAAGATGAATAATGAAGAATCCGCGTAAATGTATGAATGTTTCTGGCATTGGTGGCTTTTCTCATGTGTAACGTGCATAAGAGCCAGTTTCCTTTAGTAAGTCTTCCACAAAGGCATCCATTTCCTTAGGCAGATAGCTCTCGAGTGCTTTGCCATAAACAAAGAACAAAAAGGAAATTGTTTCTCGCATTATGATAAAACAAAGTACTTAGACCATTCAAATTTTGAATAACGTACATCTCCACACGAATATGGGCATCTATAAGCCCGTATAATCTATTTCATATTTTGTAAAGCATTTATGAGTTTTTGATTAAGAAACTAAACGATTTCAAAGCGACACTACGGAAAAAAAATTAACTCCAGCGCATGAGACTGTGTATCGGAATTTCTAAAGATATGCTCTTTTTAAATTATTTTGCGAATTGCTGTTGAATTGATTTTAGTTGTTCGGAGACATGATATTTAATAGTAAGGGAACAATAAAACGTTAAAAAAGCCCCTTAAGTAAATAGTATAAAACTGAAAATCTGAGTAATATAAAATCTGAAAGCTTTCAGTTTTTTTTTTTTTTTTTTTTCCCTTTAATTTTCAATTTTTTTCGATTATACTTTTTTTCCGAGATATTTCTCAGTGATATTCCTTGCAAGGAGTCGATTTATCAAGCAGAATTCTTGAATATTCATATATAAACAAACACCTATACAAAGGCTGCGTATGATTAGACATACATTTACACAAGTTTAGCATTCTGCTTCACTATTTCTCATCACATTCTTCATGATTTCTTGCGGAACACTGCAGTTTAAGCAACGATGAAATTAAAGACATGTAAATATCTAAGTTGCTGTTGTAAAATCTATTAGGAAAGTCTGTTAGAGTTTCAGTACACAATTTTTTTTTAAGGTAAAGAACATATACTTCCTCCTAAAATCTTAAATTATATAGAAATTTTGTCGGAGATACCAGCGATTACATGAAATATAAAAAATCTAATGTGTACACCACATGAGTTCCTTGTACGGAATATTAAATTATACACATTTTTCTTGCATTTCATTTAAACTTATTGGATTGAATTAAATCTACTTCGCGGACAGCGCATAAACCACAATAGAATAAATGCATTCTTTAAAATTCACTCTATTTGTTTACCATAGCGACACTCTGGCGCTAGGTTCCTCAGAATGCACAAAATTTATATAATTTAAAGAATTACCTAATCATTGCCACATGTTCTATTCAAATACTATAATAAAGCTAGAATGATGTATAAAAGAAATTAAGCAAACAAAAAAAAAAAGAAACAGTTTTTCACAGACGATTGAGTACTTCTCATTCAATTAATTCAGTTCTCACTTCGCGAGAAAGGCCAAAAATAACATAAAAAACTCAAAATATCTATATTAAAAATTACGAAGTAAATCTTAAACACTTATTTCCTCGAAAAAATTCCAGAAAGGATTAAGCATGATTTAATTCGCAATAATAAATGAAGGCGTTATCTTTGTTGTTGCGAAGCTAAGTTTCTCTAGATTGGCAACAAATCCACTATCCTGCTGTTTCAAATGTAAACAAGCAATGGCCGCCATCAAAAAAAATTATTAGGCTTAGCGGCACTTAAACAACTTTAAAATTGTTGATAATTCTAAAAATATTGCATACAGATTTACTAAAGGCATAAAAACCTTAACCGGAAGATAAAAACAACATAATTCAATCATTTTTAAAGCAAAAAAAATGTACAATTTACAAACATATAAGAGTAAAGAAACTGAGATCACTGAGCCGGGTAACAGAGTGGATATATATATAAAATATTTTATATACGTTTGGTGCGGCCGATTGCAACCAAAATACGAGGTGCACATCTACATGTTATAGCAGTCCTATATACAAAATTTCAACGTTCTGAGGCTACTCGTTTTTGAGGATGCGATACGCATACGTACGTACATACGTTCGTACAGACGCCACGAAAAATTCTCTTCAGAATTATTTTAAAAGCAGTTTTATAATTTTTTTGGAGGAAAAGAGTCTTTTTTATTCTGTCCTCACGTACAGATATCACGCGCAAAAAACATCGTTAAATTTCATTCGATAGCGGTCAAAATGGATATTTTCGTTGAAATATGCTGCCTGAAACTTTTCGCGATTACAATACTTCCTTTTTACTTTGTACAAGAAAGTAAAAAGAGTACGCTTTTCAACACTTTTTTGTATGTACTGTGAATTTTCACAGATAATTTTTATCTTAAATTTAGTGTTCGCAAAATAATCGCTAATGTGACAAAATTTCTTCTTCCCGTACAATTTAATGCCAGTAATCTTAAACAAGCAGCTTTATTGACATTCTTTTCCTGTGAACGTGCAAGCATATTTAAAATACCTAATTTCAGTTTTCCCAGCTGTGCGTAACCAACGAGATCAAAAATCTGAAGCGCAAGAAACGAGAAAAATATCCTGCAGACTGAGAAAAATGTACTCGTAGGAAGCAAATAAAATTTGCATACACAAAAGAAATACACCTGGTAAATTTCAGCTACGTTACTGCAGATTGTGAGAATGATCGACTAACTTAATCGACTTGTTAAACAGGCATTACTAAATTACAAAATGCCTACTTAGCAAGCATAAATGCTCCAAAATGCATAAGCTGCTTTTCTGGCTTTTAATAGATCCAGTTTTAATGTTTAATCTATTTTAATAAACAGTTAAAGAATTTCACGAAAACTTTGACAATTTTTACTGTTTGACAGATAAAACTGGACTTTGAGATTTGCAAATATATTTATTTACACGCATATATGTATATGCTATTATTACTTACGTGTCCCACCCTAAGGCACTATACGGAAGGGAGGGATGCTTTCGTAGAGGACCTTCTAAAGGAAACTGGCTCGTATTAATGTTACGGTGAAACACCGAAATCTAGAGAATGTCGACTTTCACCGGTGAATGTCAACCTAGTCTTTTGGTGTATGTCCGAAATATTTTCCAAATACTCTTATTCTGACTTACACCGATGATTCACATTCACCATGTACTAAGGTGAATGTGAACATATAACAATATTATATTTCCTTCTCGTAATTCAGTCGCGAATAAACGCACTCGAGACTTGAAATAAGAACTTAAGAAACATGAGAACCTAAAACGCACAATACATCAAAATGAGAAAGGAAAATAATAGAAGTTAAAAACTTACTTAATTATACAGTACGTTCTAAATGAGAAAATAAAATAACAGTAATAAAAACTTAACTAAATTATGTGATTCAAATCTTATTTATTGCAACAACTTAAACTATTATGGCACTTTATGACCTCTCTTTTCGATATTCACCAGAGCATATCTGTGATTGTCAACATACACCGGTGAGAATCCGAATATACAAGAATGTAATACAATAATCGATCTTTCACCGACGTATTTGGTGAATGTTGATATTCTCCGGTGAAAGTCGACATTCTCCAGTTTCGGTCTTTCACGGTAACATATACACGCATATATGTATATGCTATTATTATTTAGTGTTTCACCCTAAGGCACTATACGGAAGGGAGAGATGCCTTCGTAGAGGACCTTCTAAGGGAAACTGACTCATATTAACAAGCTACAAACGGAGAACAAACACGAAAACGCCCATCCAGCCAGCCCGCTCGCGGGATTCAAACTTCGGACCGAATTACCAGTGTTCAGGTTATTTACTGCTCGGTGGGTCATATGTATATGTTACGAACAAAGCCAAAAGTGTGGTCGCATATCACCAATCGATGTGAACTCAGCTTAAAATATATAACTCTTTTATTAGTTTTATGTCTCGCCACTTCACGAAATGGGCTAAAGAAACCGGGCAAAGTTAGGAA